CAGTACAAACAATTCAAAAAAAATATATGGTTTGTTGGGACAAAAAGGGACCCACTCTTTTTGTACTATGTACGTCATCTGTACAAAGGTCACTTCGTACAATACGATTAGTTCAAAAAATATTTGAGATCGTCGGGATGAAAATAGACCGTTCTTTTCGTATTATAGAGGTCGTTTGCACGAAGGTCACTTCGCATAATACGATCAGTTTAGAAAAAGTTGTTGATGCTCATTAGGATGAACTTATGCATATATATTTCATACTTTGGATGTTGTCTGTAAAAAGGATTCTTCATACAGTATGAACAATACTTATAAAATTTTCTTCCTCATGGTTAGTTCAACTACCTCGTTGGAGGAAATAACTAAACAGATCATCCCATACGAATTAAAATCATACAATATGATTAGTTTTAAAAAAATTACAGATTTTTAACACTCCCCAAGTGTGTTTGTGGTTACCCAATTACAATCACACTCTTTCAAACTCAATAAAAATGAAAATATAAACTCCATTTACAATGAACCCTATTATAATTTGATTTGAAGTCTTCAAAAGTCTGTAGTATAATTTTTCTAAAATGTTAGTACACATAAACAAAAGCAATATATCTAATATGTGTTAGGAGAAACAATAATCAAAATAATAATATTTGGATTCATAAAAAACATACATGATATGAAAAACATAGTTATAAAAACTAAGTTGCAACAAGAAGGAAGTTATGGAATTTGATCGAGGAACATACTTCAAATGACTTCTCATGTTAAGGCGGTGATTTCAATTCTATTTTTGCTAAAGAGGAAAAGAAGGGCAATAAAATATTTATGTTCTCTCAAGGTCATTAGGAGATGAAGGAATCCTGTTAAAAAATATTTTTTATGAAATTGGCACGGTGGGACCAAAGTATACATGATGTAATAATAAAGGACTTGCTCGAATTTGGGAGAGACTAGAAAGAATTTTCTTGAATTTTAATGCTCTTTTAAATATTCCTTTTACTTATGATCATTGTCCTCTTCTACTTTCTCTTAATAATTCTATGAGACTCAATCATAATTCTATTATATTTGAAAATATTTGGTGCTTATATGAAGCATCTTGGAGTATTGTTAAGAAATCTTATTCTAAATAAGATTTTAGATCGTCGTCTGATATTTTTCAAAGGAAAGTTAATTGTTCTCTCATAAACTTGTTTTTCGGAGTAAAAATAAATTGAAGGAATTTAACAATCAGGAGTTATTATTACAAAATGATATCTTACTATTGCAAGAAAAGGAATGTAATTTTAATGGGTTGAATCCGAGTAACCTGTTAGAGTTGAGGAAGAAAGTTCATGAGTTGAATGTTACTCTTGCTAGACTCGCAACTTGGTGGAGGCAATTTTCTAAAATGTAGTGGTTGGATGAAGGTGATCAAAACTCTAGATTGTTTCATACTTATACGAATGCAAGAAGGGGTATATGATTAATCAAATTTCCCTTTCCAATGGTTCTATAGAGAATGATATTGAAGCTGTTCAAATTGTTGAAAAAAAAAATTCCATAACAAATGGAGAAAAAGACGGTGTTCTCTTATCAATTGGCCATCGTTTCTCCTTGAGCATCATCTGAATAATGATATGAAGCAGCTATTACTGCTAGATTTTCATAACAAAGAAATGGTATGTACTGTAATGAAGATGAATAATAATAAATCTCCTGGTAATGAAGGTATTTATGCTTGTTTTTTTAAATCTCTTTGGAGCATTGCAAATATAGAATTATGGAATGCGGTTCAAAATTCTTTTATCACGAGTATGATGTCTGACTCTTGGAAAGAAACATTGGTGGTTTTAATTCCAAAAGTTCCTAATGCAACAGAAGTAACAAAGTTCATAACTATCAGTTTATGCCAAATAATCTATAAAATTGTTACTATTATGATATTAAATAGATTGAAGAATTGTCTCCCTCTGATTATATCTAAATAATAAGGAGCTTTTGTACAAGGAAGATCCATTTCAAACAATTGCTTATTGGCCCATGAAATCATTGACAAGTTCAGATTTTCAAAAGCAAAGCAGGTTAATATGCTTATTAAACTTGATATGGAGTAAGCTTACGATAGCATGTGTTAGGAGACACTAAATCCGATTTTATATGTTATGGAATTCACCTTAAAGATGATAAATCTAATTATAAGTTTTATAATAGATTCAAAATTCTCTATAATCATCAATGGAATGAAATGCAAGATGATAATTGCTAATTATGGTTTTAGACAAGGGTGTCCGCTATCACTCTATCTTTTTATCTTATTTTTAGAATTACTTTATACAGTAATTTATGAGAAAGGTTGCGAGCTTGGGATAAGAATTATTCCAAATACTCCGAAGGTTTCTCATATACTGTATGCTGACGATATTCTTATTTTTGTTGATGCTTTAAGGAACAATGCAAAGTTGATAAATAAATTTATAGCAGAATACTCTAGCTGTACTAGACAGAATATCAATTTGAGTAAATCAATGGTACTCTTTGGGAAGTATGTATCCAGAAGGAGGAAAGAAAAATAAAATAAAATTCTGGGTTTTTATGTAGTAACTGAAATAATCTATTTAGCCATTAAGATGGTTCTTCGAAGAGTTGTTGCTGCAAATTTTCAGAATGTGTTGGATAAGGCATTGGAGAGACTTAATGCATGGGGGTCTCAGTCTTTATTGTTGGGTGGAAGAATTGTATTGATCAAAACTGCATTTTCATCCAGCCTTCCATTTATTATGATGCATTATCTTATTCCAAAAGGAGTTCATGATGATATTGATTTGTTGTGTAGAAGTTTTTTATGGCATAAGGATCAAGGGAATCAAGGCTTATATTCTATTGCTTGAAGTTCTCTTTGTACCCCAATCAATCAAGTGAGTTTGGGAATTCAAGGTGCTACTCAAAGAAAGGGTCCATTAAGGGCTCAAATAGCATGGAACTTCATTTAAAAAATAAATTATCTTTTTAATAAAGTTATGGTGGCTAAATATGGTGATGATCTATGTGAGGGAGAAATAAAGAGAAGCTCATCTCCTTCTTGGTGAATTATAAAAGATGGGGCTTGATACTTAAAGCCCATTGCTAGATGGAAAGTTTCTAATGTAGCTAAAATCAATATTACAGAAGATACTTGGATCCTAGATATATGTTTAAAGAATTGGCCGGTTACATGCAATATGAATTATCTTCATAGTAAATCTTTGTCCTTACTTATTGATGGAAATAGTACATGGAATCTTTCTTTGTCGAAAGATTATTTCTCTGATTACATGATTCATGTAATCCTTGACATTCCCATAACAACTGATTCAATTTATGGTTACAAATTTTAGTAAGTTGGTTTCAATAATATCTTTTGAGGCATCAATCAATGTTCAATATTTTTATGGAATCAACTTTAAATGGTTGAGGAAACTGAAGTTAACACCAAGAGAAGTTCTATTTTGGTGGAGACTAAAGAATAATGCACTTCCGACAAAATGTTTGGTGAATTATAGAAGATTGCAGGACTCTGTTAACTGCACGAGAGTTTGTCAGGAGATTGAAGATGAACGTCATAATTCAGTTAATTGTAAAATGCTAATTGAAAAGTTTGACTCTTTTAAAGTTTGGGGATTTCAATTACCCAAATTATGTAATTTTCCTCACTGCCGGATGGTTTAGAGAAAGCTGCAAATGATAAATCTAAATTAGTTAAACTATATATGTATTTGGTATTTAACAATTGGAAATTCAGGAATTGTGTTAAGCATGTAAAAAGTGGTCCTCCATTTATTATTGCAGCTCATATACTTTTGCAGTCAATTCAACCACAATGATTTTCAATCTGTCATAACTGGGGTACTAATCAACAAGTGTTGCTGTCCAAAATTTGGTATCCTCCTCCTACAAATTGATTAAGCTGAATGTGGATGCTTCGCTTTTACAGTTTAATGTTGCAAGTATAGCTGGTGTATTTCGTGACCATAAAGGAAGATTTTTGTTAGCATATAGAAAGAAGTTATGCCATTGGGATATTTTACTGTTTGAATTGATTTCTGTCTTTGTTTTTAAAAATAAAATCAAGGACTGGATGATTGGCAAGGAAGGCATTATTATTGAATGTGATAATGTTAACATGATCAAACTGTTGCAGAATTCAGTGTAGAAGACTAAAGACTTTCAAAGATGCATTCATAGTTTGGACTTTTCTTTTCTAAAAAATTTTAAAAATGTAATTTTTCATTGGGTTTCTAGAAATAGTAATAGAGTGGTTGATTATTGTTCTCATAAAGCCCTATTAGGTGATTTCTTTTTGGGACATTTTTCTTCTAGATGCTCTTCCTTCAAATTTTGTTGACTTGATTTGGGAGGAATGTGATAGCTTAACTATCACATGGTACTTTGTTTCTTTCCCCTTTATGCTTAATGCTATTTGCTTTTCTTTAAAAAAAAAAAATTAAAAGAACTTGAGTTTATTGTTGGTTTTTCTTTTATTTTGATGTCTCTATTTAACTTTTTTCTTTTATTTTGTCTGTTTTTTTTGCATAGATTGTAACATGTTTTTCATTTTAATATATGGGCTTTGCCCTAAATTTTACCAAAAAAAAACTTTAAAAAATAGTTTTATGCATGCTAACTTCGTAACTTATTTTATCGACACAAACACAACTTAATTGTTCAGGCTTTGTTTGTTTGGGTGTTTTTTTGCCTTTTTCATTTGGAAATGGAGGAATTTTTTTTGGTGTTGTTTGTTTGTGACACTTTTGCATATATATTTTTTAGTAAATCGTATTTTTGTACTGTTTTAAAAAACTTTAGGATATTTACTTGTCTGTTTGAAATTTCTGCTTTCTCAAATAATTATTTTAAAACTGACTTTAGAAAAAGTGGAGGATAGCCAAACGAATCACCTTTCAGTTTTGATTAGACCAATCTTTTAGTTCGCTTCACGCTCGCCGCCCCTGCATTTTGTTAAAGCTACTGTGCTGAACCATGTAAGCTCCAGTTCCAAAAAAAAAAAATAAATAAAAAAAACCTTTTATGCTTCCACTCGTCAGTCTATCGCTCTCGTGATCACGAACTCCTCCCTCCTGAGAACCATGGCATTGTGGATCCGCCCCCTTGATCCCTTGCTCTACCAACCCCTCCTTCGCTTCTCTCTCGATAATGTTTCACCGCAGGCCATGAGCTTTCGCCTCCGCATCCTAACTCCCCCTCTCCATTGCCGCTTCCGCTGCCGCAACAGTAGCACCACCGCAATAAAAAGGTAACAGGAAAAAAAACTCCGTGATTTTGTTAGTCTTGTAAAACCTCTCATTTTTAATCGAACTCTCTATCCTTTTCGCAGGGCTGAGAAGAAGCGACCGAAGGAATCAATGAAGAACGGTAAGGTCCGCTTAAGCCTGCGCTTAGACCTCCAGGTGGAGTTCGGGGAGCACGTTGCGGTCCTCGGATCGTCCAATGAGCTTGGGTCGTGGACGAAGCAGATTCCGATGCAGTGGACGGAGGCTGGATGGGTGCGCGTTCTTCATTTGCAAGGGGGTAAGACGGTGGAGTTCAAGTTCGTGATAATAACCGAAGGGGGTAAGTGTATTCTTTGGGAGGAAGGGGATAATCGATTGTTGGCTGTTCCGGAGAGTGGGGTTTATGATTTGGTATGCGGATGGAATGAGACGAGAGAGGTGTTGGATCTTCTGGCGGGGGTGAGTGAGGAGGAAGTGGAAGGCGAAGGTGATGGGGATGGTGCTAACGTTGATGATGGGGTTGTTTCTGAGGCAGAGGCAGAGGCCAGTTCTTTTGTGGAGCAGTGGCAGGGAAGCTGTGTTTCATTTATGCGGTCCAATGAGCACAGTAATAGGGAGATAGAGAGGAGATGGGACACCAAGGCGCTTGATGGCCTTGCACTAGAGCTGGTGGAGGGAGACAAAACCGCTAGAAACTGGTGGCGCAAGGTATTCCTAAGTTTGTATTTATATAGAATGGGTATAAGTATTGTCGTTATTATGTTCATCCCAACAATCGTTAGATGCGTGAATCCTGCATATTCATTTTATAATTTATGTTGAGCTCCAGATGGGGGTTTTAGTTCCAATTTGTGCAATTTTTAAAAAATAATTTATAGCTAAGTTATGTAGTTGTACTTTAGCTCCGTAAAAACTTTTCATGGATTAGGCCTTAATGGTGCATTTTTTTTCGCTTTTTATCGATATGCCCGATTCATTTAACTCAATTTTCTATAACCTTTCATGTGAAAAGGGCTACTCTTTTGTCCTTATGGCAATAACTATTTCTCATTCTAACTTTCTAAATTATACTGCTCATCATGTTAACATTTTTTACACGTTCAGTTGTTATTAATTTGTTTTGCTGAACCCGATCTATGCAACATTGTTGGTTTTATTTCCATTAAAAAAAATTACTTTTGAGGTTTCTATATTTTTCTTTTATCATCTTATGGGTGGAGGGATGGAGAGCTGGAGGCACGAAATGGTGGTTAAGTATGGCTTGGAAGCACCAAACCATGAATAATTGTTTCAAGTTTGAGGAATTTGTGATTGGGTTTATGGGCTGAACTAGCAGCTAAAAACTCTTCGAGTTGATTGAGGGGATTTTAAAGATATATTTTGAAATTTATAATTTTTTTCTTAAATGATTGAAGTATAAATAATAAGGAAAGTAAAGAATAGGTCATTCTTGCCCTAGTTTGGCTGATTTTGTGGAAGTAGGAATATCTTCGCATTTTTATCCAAGTAAGAGGGTAGGGTTTCACATTGGAATGTTAGAGGATATGTATAAGAAGATTTCTGCAATAAAATAGGTTTAGAGTTTGAGTGATAAAAATCATGCAACTCACCAAAATTACAAAGACTAGACAATGTCAGCAAACAAGATCCAATTAAATAAATTGGGCACTAAACTTCTTTATAAAGAAGAAACATTCGAACAATTTGTCAAAACATTAGCCTTTACTTTATTTCTTTTGTATTTAGTATTTATAGTGTTTTTGCAATAATTCAAACTTCAAATGAAGAGAGGGAGAACGAGTTATTCTGTGTCCTACAGAAAGTGTGCAAGAGTGGTTGAAGCACCTCTTTATCAAATGATGTAACTCCTCCAAAGAAGGTATGGATGACTATTATAAGAGGGGTGATTTAATTGTAATGCAATCACCTCTTGTTTAAATTTGAAAAGCAATTTCCAGCATAATTTTCTATCGCAGTTTGAAATCCAAAATTCAAAATTCAAATATTTGAATTTAAAAAAATTTAAAATTTAAATTTTAAGTTATTAATTTTTACAAATATTCAAAAATAGAATATTACAATGATAAAGTCTAATACATCAATTATGAACATAAATCATTGACATAAAAAATATAATTATTATTTTTAATTTTGAATTAGCCTCTTATCTTTAGACCCTTTTTGGTTAAGTTTGCTTACTTGTGCTACATCAGCTTGCATCACACTCACAACCACCTTATCATTGCTTTCGTTTGTGGGATCTTTTTGTCTAAATCACAAATTTATGCAGGCGTCTCACTTTCATCTGCAACCCAAGCTGACCCGCCACTTTTGTGTTAAACGCTTATTTTGTCCCCTTATAGTGTTTCAACCATTTGCTATGACCTTCTTCAAACTACTACATTTACAACCCTTGCTTGCATCTTTGTCCATTCTACTATTCTGTGTCGATTTCCCCCTTGAAATGCGTCTAATCTCTTTATCATTAAGACCTTTAGTGTGCCTTCCCATCAATATATATCTTTCGATTAGTACAGGTATGCGTAGATGTTCAGACTACCATCGCAAACCTATGCTCGATTCATTTCAATCGTCTTTTTCATAAAGTATTTCAGTTCATTTTTTATCTAACAAAACATTCTCTAATCAAATCAGGTTAATAAATGCTCTAAACCAGCCCTAATATCATTATCTTGAAGGATTTAATGCAAAATAACTTTGTCAATAAAAGAAAGCTGTAATTCAACCTTTTTAAGGACATAAATCTTAAAGATATAGAAGAAGCAATCATTTGTCAGCGCAGATGTGATAATTGCATATTGAAAAGCCTCAAAATGCTCTTGAAGCTCATTACATGGATCATGGAAGAAAAAATAATTGTAAACAAAAATTTTATTATTATGTAGATCTTGAAGGCAATTATGCTAATCGATCTTAATGATCATTATATTATTATAAGGATCACTATAAATGTCATGATCAATCTCTTCAACTAGCTTATTATGTTGATCCATCTTCTAAACTAGATTCTTTATTTTGATTGAGTTGTGTTATCTACATAATAATCATGACCCAGGACGACTCACCAAGTGTGATCACCATTGATTTATCTCTCTTTCATACCATCAATATCGATAATAGTAGGTTTTTAATTCTACTTGTGCTTTTGCGCCTGATGAAATTTGTTCGCAAAGGAAGCAACAATTGTTTATACAATGCAATGTTGAGATTGAAATTTCAACAACAACTAGCTTTTATCCAATTTTGTGAGGTCGGTTATATGAATCCTTTTTCTCCATTGTCCTATTAAGAGTTAAATTCTCATTTAAATCTAGCAAATAAATGGTCATTTTTAATACTTTCTAACTAAGCCTTTTTAGGTCTGCTTCTTCCTTTTTTGATATAGACTGAATCTAATACATCTACCCTCCTAATAGGTTCATCAGAAAGCCAATATTTTATGTGACCAAATCATCTAAGGCGACTCTCTCTAATCTTATAAATTTCAAAGACAAAAATACAGGAGGCATCATAATCAAAGATTCATTTGGATCATGAAAGAGAGAGAGACAAAAGAATTGAGGATGCATTTTAAAAATTGAAAATGACTATAGTTCTATGAATGAGTTATCAAATTATGGTGATGATGATCGACCACAAGCTCACCAAGTGATTATGATTGTTTTTTGAACTTAGTCAATCTATTGTCATGACTAATAATGCCCCTCCTATGGAACTTGACTTCGCACCACTTACAGAGATTGACAGTTCATATTTTGATACATGATCTATGATTGACAATACAATGCTCTTTTTGTTGTCATCTCTTGATGTTGAGTTTGTTCTTCCACTTTCACAACTTATGCAATTTCAAGAGATCATATTCTTTAATTTAGATCAGAGGTAGTTCTCCCTTATTTGCATTTGTTTTGATTTGATGCTTCCCATTTTGTTTGTGCATGCTTTCTCTAGTATAATGTATGATCTTAAGGATGTGCATGAGCAAATCCCACTCACTTTCACAGTGATCTGCGACATATTTTGAGAAAAGAGTCCTTTGACATTTATTTTTAATATTATAATTTTTAGGTTTATTTGTACTACTCATTTTGATATGATTTTTAATGTAACAAGCCCATTTCTCTTTACATAAGTTGATCCTAAATTAAGGTTTTGATTTTTGCTGTTTTTATGGAATGAAAAGATGAGTTTATCTAAATTCCCCTCATATATTCTTAGAGAAAATGACCAAAATAGACCATTGACTCTTTATGAAAATCAAAATAATCCCTAACTATATTAAATGACCATTTTGGTCCTTGAACTCATTAAAGAGGAACCAAAATAGTTCCACCATAGGACTATTTTGGTTCCATTTTAATGAATTGAGGGGGATCAAAATAGTCTTTTAATATAGTTGAGAATCATTATGGTCGTTCATAAAGAGTTAATGATTTAAATGACTTGGTTAGAAAATATTAAAAATGGTCTTTCTTTATTAGATTTAAATGAGAATTTGACTCTTAATAGGACAATGGAGAAAAAGTATTCATGTAGCCAACCCCACGTAGTAGGATAAAGGCTTGATATTGTTGTTGTTGTTGTATAAAGAGTTAAGGGACCATTTAATCATTTTTCATATATTCTTGCTTTTTATCTTTATATGTTTCCTCTTGTTCCTCCCCTTAGGTCCTGCTTCTGGAGAAGAGGGGAGGGCTGAATGGAATGTGTACTGAAATAGAATTGAGGGGCGGAAGAAGAAGAAACAGAGAAGTCAGGAGGAATAGTTGACAGATTAGGCTTTGTGAAAACTCATATTTTCATTCTAAAATCAATATCATTTATCAAAAATCATGATCCTGTTATATAAAGAGGATCCCTGGTTTATTACATCAGGAATCACGTCAAATTGAAAATTTGATATTATATTACGAATGAAAAAATAAGCCTTATCTATTATTGTCCTCTATCACCTATGACTACTGTTTGGTGGCATCCTCTGGTAGCATTTGCTTGCCAAGCCTTCTGCAATTCACTGTTTGTGTTTTTTCCTTCTTAGGGATATGTAAATTTTGTCCAAGTCTTCATGATTCTTTTATTTGCGTCTTTTCTTGATCAGCTTTTTAAGTTTAACCTCAATACCATGTCAGAAGGGAGAGAATTAAAAATGATATCTTTTTTAAATTGTCATACTAGTAAAATTTTATTTGTGCCTATACGTGGGCAATAAAAGGGAACAATAAAAAATATAAGTTAAAGAAAAATATTCTTGGTAATGAGAAAATATAATAATAATAAAGATTTTTAATTCTTATCATTTACAATTATCTATTATTCAAGTGGAATTATAATAAGCCACAAAATTGAGATAAGGCTAATGTTAATGATAATAAGCTTTTTAAATGGCTTATGTTAGATATTTGTGTACCAAGTAAATTCTTTAGTTTCTTTTTAAGAAACTGTGATATCTTAAGAACGGGTGCTTTGCGACTGAACTAATTTTCCCTAATTTATCTACTTATTTTCTTACATCATACTGACTACTATTTGATCTTTTTGGCAGCTTGAGGTTGTTCATTCTCTATTATCGGGAAATCTCAATCTTGTGGATCGTCTTGAAGCGCTCGTTTATTGTTCTATTTACCTAAAGGTTTTTTCCTTGGCATATTTATTCAGATTGAGGAACTCTTTAAGCAATTTTTAGAACTGGGTCTTGCCGTAATGGTGAAAAATTTCTGTGATGATCCCATAATTGCTAACTAAATTGGCCGTAGTGAAGAATGTGCCATCAAGAAAACCTAATTGGGTGTTCTTTCCACCACTGTTTTCTTGATATTGCTTCTTTCGCTGGCAGAACTAAGGAAAATGACCAAAGAAATTTGATCCAAACAGCATGGGGTGTACATATTTTTACTTAATTCGGATGTAATTTACCTTATCTTTTATTTTCTGCGTGTATTCAAATATACAAAACTCACACTTGCTATTGCATTTCTGCAGTGGATCAACACTGGTCAGATCCCCTGCTTTGAAGATGGTGGTCATCATCGACCAAATAGACATGCTGAGATTTCAAGACTTATTTTTCGTGACCTTGAAAGAGTAACCTATGGAAAAAACAAATCATCAAAAGTAATTGACCATCCACCGAATTCCACTTCTTTGAAAATTGTTCCTTCGTTAGTTATTGTTGATTTGGTCATATGAGTTGTGTTCACCTTTTTTTATCCTTTTGCAGTTCTGCGGTACAAAATAATAGTGAATTTGCCAAGAAAAGTGCTTCTCATTAAACTAATCGTAGTTATTTAATTTAATACTAAGTCATTTGTTTTGGTGCTGGATGAAAGAACTCAGATGTAAAGCTAAAATCTTACCTATGCTAAGTATACTATTTGTGTGATAACCTTGTCTATGAAATACTTCTTTTTGATCTTGGCAGATTCACAATGAAATTATTGATTTGGTCATGAATTGGCTACTAAATAGACGTCACTATTAAATTCTATTGTAATTACTACTGTCATGAGCCAAATATATTCTGCTCATACTGGCTTGTTATTCCCTACGGATTTAGCATTTCCTTCTTTCTTACATGTTTACAGGATATACTTGTGGTCAGGAAAATTCACCCTTGCCTGCCTTCGTTTAAGTCAGAGTTTACTGCTTCTGTTCCGCTTACGCGAATACGAGATATTGCGCACCGCAATGATATTCCTCATGACTTGAAGGTTTCCCTTTTAGCCTTAGTAACTTGTTTGTTGCATGTAAGATCCATCAACCTTTATTTTTCTGTTCTCCAGCAAGAGATAAAACATACCATACAGAATAAACTTCACCGTAATGCTGGACCAGAAGATTTGGTTGCTACAGAGGCTATGCTTGCCAAGATTACCAAGACACCAGGGAAATATAGCCTGGCATTTATAGAACAGTTCAAGATATTCTACACAGAGCTTAAAGATTTCTTTAATGCTGGGAGGTCTGATGCATTGTTAATTTTTTCATCCAACATCTTTTGCTTCTGGAATATGGTTATTAAATTTTGATTATAAATGCTTGCCACTTAATTCATATTTATTGTAGCTATTCTGTTGGTGCTTGTTCTTTACTTGATCATAGAATGCTTTGATTTAGTTCATCTTGTTCATCTTTGAATTCAGTGATTGCCTATTCTTTCTCTTTCTATGAAAATGTTGAGTGCATGTAGGTAGAATTTGATCCCAGTACACCGACAACTTCTAAGATTTTTACCAACTAAGCTAGTTTGCACCAACTAAGAAAATGAATATTTCAATTTTCTACCTTGGCACACTTTTTCAAGCTTATGTAAACTGAACTACATGCTCGTTAATTAAGAATATTTCTGTTAGCGTAGGAGGATGAACAGAAGACTTGTATGCTTGTTTTTCCAGTTTCTAACAATGCATTTCATGATATTGCAGTCTGACCGAACTTCTTGATTCAATTAAAAAATCCTTGGATGATCAAAGCTCAGAAGCTCTTAACCTTTTTCTGGAATGCAAAAGGGTAAAACAATATTTTATTGCAAGTGATTTTCTATTGTAACATACTGCATTGATCCTTAATGACTGTTTTATAGTTTTGTTTTCAAAGTTAAGCTTTATGATGTTTACATTCATTCTTAGTAATACATGTTTATATTGATTTCTTAGGAAATTACAAGCCTGAACTTTTACATGGTTTATTTCATTTTATCTGGCACATTTCCCATTAGATGGACAAAATATTTGATCAGCAAGATAACTAAATTATTTTATAGTTATTAAGTTTTTTTAACGAGTAGCCTAAGCTGTGTAAATTTGGAGTGCTTTCCTCTCTATATTGAATGCGTATTTACATCCTACTTTCATCCAAACTATTTTATTTTTTTGTGAATAATTACGACAAATACTATCATTGCTAGGTCCTAAGCTCTAGATGAGAAAGGTAGAGGGCTGCGTTAGGTAGTTGAGAACCATCGTAAAACTTGTCGATCAATCATGATATGAATCATTTAATATATTGTGTTAATGCTAGGGTGTTCCTTAGAAGCAACGTGCTGTGCAAGGGCTGCTGCACCGGCGCCTAGGTGCAGTATTAAATAAGGGTTCCCACATCATGGATGGATATGACAAGAAGTTAGTCCATGAAACTAGAATTGTGATAGGAACTTGGAATATATAGTATCTTATTGACTAATTAATGAAATTAATAGATATTATGATTTATAGGAAAATAAATATTTTATGCATTTATGAAACTAAATGAGTTGGATAGAACGCTAATGAGATTGATAATTTATGATTTAAGTTATGATATACAGATAAGAGTTGTATTAGAATTGGTGTAAGTGTCATTATAAATAAGAGTTTCAAGGATAGTATTTAAAAAATTAATAGAGTTGGAAATGGAATTATAATTTTAAAGATTGTTGTTGATGCTAAAGTTGTTAATATTATAAGTGCTTTTATTTTTTAAGTAGGTTTGAATATTTGTTTAAAATTTAAATTTTAAAATAACTTAAAAAATTAATACAAATGACACCTCTTAAAAAAAGTTTTTATTGAAAGATATTTAAATGTACATGTTAGTAGATTGGAGTAGAAGATTTTAAAAATATTTATAGTGGCTATGAGTTTGAAGTGACTAACAAAGATGGTAAAACTTAGCTCTAGCTTATGATTTTGTAATTACTAATATTTTATTTAAGAAAAAGGAGGAACATCTCTTCACTTATAAGAATGTATATCATAAAACTCATATTGATTATTTCTTATATGAAAAATAAGTGTTTATATTGTAAAATTTATAAAGTCATTTTGAGAGAAAGTTCATATATCCAACATCGTTTATTAGTTTTTAGTCTTTAAAATGAAGGGTTCAATCAACACATTTAAACTGGAATGAAATATTATCATAAACATAACAATGCGAGGTTGCAGTTATATAAAAATTTACTAATTCCTATGATATCGTTTGGGTGTCTTTTCTCGTTTTTCAGAACAATTGGGAACTTGTTCTCCCAAAGTATTCCGAATCCTTTTCCTTTTGCAAACAATCTAAACATACATTTCATCATTTACATATGCTTATAAATAAACAAAACAATCAATATAAATATCTTACAAATTACCTCAAGTGCACTCATCTTCATTTCATTCAAAATTCTTATTTGTCTCCTAATCTTCTTTCCCTACTTCCATTCCTTTATTTTCTATTTAACAACAACAACCCTTAATTATCACAGCAACATCTACAAATAATAACATACTAAATTTCAACAATTACTCTTACATGATTTCCGTTTTTTTCCTTCTATTTCCCTGCTGATTTCAGTTTTCACCTAATAATAGCTGATTGCAGTGATTCACAGCAACATACATCATTCCCTAGTTGTAGTACTGTAATTTACAGCACCAAATTGTAATTAACAACCCTTACAGTTTTCAGCAACCCTACAGTAACCTACAACAACAACATTACATAAATTAATTAAACGAAACCTCGTTTCAACCATTATTCATAATAAAATTACTAAATTCTGCTGTCCTATGCCTCATTCCTACATTTCCTTTCCTGAAATTCAGCAATCAAAAACTGCAGCCCCACACATGAGCCATGCCTCCTTTAGCCTGCAGCTCTTGGCACAGCCAGTAGCTCTCGGCTCATCAACGTGAATGGAATGAGGAAAAAATGGAATGGTGATGTTTTGCTGATATTTTGCTGCTTACCTAATTATCTAATGTATATATATTCCTAATGTTTTCCACTAAACTTCCACTATACTTAGTGGATTTGCTTCTACAGTAATTAACAATAAAACAATCTATTACAGAACATTTAAGTAAATGCTAATTAAATATTAATTTAACTAATACTTAGTATTAAATTAACTGTTACTAAAAATAAACAATAATTAATTTAATAACTATACAATATACAATTAGATTTATATTTTACATATACTTATATATGTCAAAATGCTTGGAATTAAAAGTAGGATTTAATGAAATAAAATGAACATTTAGAGGAAGTTTATGCTTACATTATTTTGAACATTTTTTTTTGTATTATATTATTAAATTAGTAAAAATAAATTATTAAATTAGTAAATTTAATCAAACTATAATCAAGTATCTTAGTCGAGCTCTAATTGAGCTTCTTAACGAGTTTGTTCACGAGCTTTAAACGATATTGTTCGTGAACATAAACCTACCAAACACCAAGCTGTTCAAGCTCGTTTATTTAGCTATCAGGTATTTATCAAAAATCTGCAAGCTTGTCCGTTTATCTTATCAAGCTAATTGAATGAGCTCTTATCGGGTTGAGTCACGAGTGGCTCGTTAAACACTTGGTTCGCTTGCATTCCTAGCCATAAGACCCACCTAAACAATCAGGTCACTTCTAAATGCAAAAGTCGTAAGACCTACTCAAATAATTAGGCCACATGTAGAAGTATTTAGACCCCTACCCATATATATCCCCATGCTACTTCTAACGCAGAAGTCGTAAGATCTTTCAAAACAAAATCAACTAGCAACTTCCAATGGAAGTCGTTAGGCTTGCTTTTTGGGGAACTTCGAAGAGAAGTATCAGACCCCCAACCAAGATTAACAGGCTACTTTTAAATGTAGTAAGTCTTGTTTTAATTTAAACCTACGAGCAACTTCTAAGTTGAATCGTAAGTTCCGTTCTAAATCTAAACCTACGAGCAACTCCTTAGTGGAGCCGTAAGCCCCGTTTTAAATCTAAGCATACGAACAACTCGTAAGTTGAGCTATAAGCCTCATTCTAAATCTAAACCTACGGACAACTCCTAAGTGAAGCTGTATGTCTGTCCTAAATTACAACCTATGGGCAACTTCCAAGGGAAGTCGTAAGCCCTGTTCTAAACTGAAAAACCTATGGACAACTCCTAAATGGAGCCATAAGTCCCAACCTAAATTCAAACTTCCAGGCAACTCTTGAGTGGAGCTGGAAGCCCTAACCTAAATTTAGACATCCGGGCAAATTTTAAGTGAAACCGTAATCCCTGAACCAAATCTAAGCTACAGGCAACTTCTAAGGGAAGTCGTAAGCCCCGACTCAAAACAAACCTACGAGCAACTTCCAAGGGAAGCCATAAGCCTTGATCTAAACCAAATCAAATTCAAATAACTAGACAACTTTTCAGCGTAGTCGTAAGCCCTGAAGTAACTCAAATAGCCGGACAACTTTCAATGAAAGTTATAAGTCTCAAACTAAATAAATTATTGGGTATTCTAATAGATGTAAATCCCAAACCACAATAAAACTGAAACCCACATTTAACAACTTCAAATTACCTGGGATTCCTGAGAAGAGGCAACCTATGGGTGTTAATCAGATTCCTTTGACTCCTTGATCAACGATTGCTAGTGTTGGTAGATTGAAACCTACATTATTCCCGGGACGACGGAACCATGTGATCTTGATCGGGTCTACCTCCTCTTCCCCAGGACTGAGATTAAAACACCTAAAGCTATTAATCCTTAAATGAGAGTTTTTTTTTACATAGTAAGAGAGGTAATTAACTATGAGGGGTTGTGCTCATATGAAGTAAGGTCCCAGATCTAACTAAATCCTGATACCATCCTCAGATGAAATCTGATTAACTACAATCTAAAGAGAAAAGGATGATTTACATATGATGTTCATTGATTTTGAGAAGTATATGATAAAATTCCAAGAGAAGTGTTTTGGAGAGTTTTAGATAAGGAGGTAATAATGATTATATTCAAGTCATCAAGGATATGCATGCAGGAGTTGTTACTTGTGTTCAAACATAAGATAGTTTGATAATGTATTTTTCTATTTAGTTGGATTATATCAAGGATCAACGTTAAGGTCATATATTTTTACTTTATTCATGGATGTTCTTACTAGACAATTGCAAGAGGATGTACGCTGGTTTATGCTTTTTGCTAATGATATTCTTCTTGATAAGAATATAGAGAGTTGAAGGAAAACTTGAATTATGGAGTAGATCTAAAGGTTTTCATGCAAGTAGATCTAAAACATAAATATGGAGTGTAATTTTAGTACTAATACATATTGTGGGAGGATAGATCTTAGGTCTATTGTTTAGAGTGATGGTAAAATAGATGGGAATAATCTTAGTAGTAATTAAGTTGGATTGCTGAAGTAGAGGAATTCATCAAGCCTGTTGTGTGATAGAAAATTACCCCTCAACCTTAAGGGAAAATTTTATAAGATTGTGGTGAGACCTACGTTGTTTTATGACATAGAATGTTGGCAGTTAAAAGAGAAAATAAAATTTAGTGTTGCAAAGATGAGGATCTTCTAGTGGATGAGTGCTTTACTCTTAGATACAAAATGCAAAATTAACATATATGGGAATAGGTTGGAATAGCTCTAGTGACATATAAGACTAGAGAGAGTTGCCTTAGTTGGTTGGTCACATAAAATGTCGGCCTTCTGATGACCTGGTTAGGATTAATTAATTTAAGGGTTTATAAAATTAAAATAATTAGGTATTTAGTAGTACAAAAATTAAAAAAAAATAATAAATACAATAATTAAAAATAATAACTATTTAATTTATTTAAAATTAAGAATTTTATAATAGATTAAATTCCTAGATACTCAAGCAATTGACTACTTGTAAATGATTAATTGATTTAAGTGTTAATGCGAATAAACTATTTAAAGTAATTTTAATTCATCCAATAAGTAAGTAGGTAGGGAACTACATTTCTCCCAACACCACAATACTACATTTCTCCTAATGCCACCAGACCAACGCCGCAACGGTAGAAGTATAAGAAATCATTGGAGAACTTAATGCTGAGTTGCTACCTATGGAGTGTCGTAGCACCATATCGAGCGTCGTAGCACCAGATTGAGCGCCACGATGCTAAATCACCACAACTCCATGGCAGACGATAGCTGAAAATGATTGAACTAGGCGAACCAATGCGATGAATAATGAACTGACACGTCTATTTAGCAGCACCGCAGCGCCACCTAGTAAGCGACACTGCTTAAAAAATTATAAATAGGGATCTATTTCTGATGGAAAAGGGGGTTGGCTAGTTGGAGAGACGTGAGTGAGAGAGAGAGACCGCTTATTTAGGAGGCTGGCCTCCTATTGTGCTAGTTATGTACGAATCTAGAGAGAAAAGGAATGAGTGCAAAGAGTTTGTAATTGCTTTGTGAAGGGTGTTCAGGTCAATTATGTTCTTTCTATTTCTCTTGATCTTTTGTTTTAAATATTGCAACTTTGATATGTTTACTTTTAATTCTATGTCTGGTTAGAAGCTTTTCTCTGGCCTTGTGATATTATAAAAACCATATATTGCTTAGATTTGATTTATAATTTCATGAATTGCTTAATGCTGTTATTAAATCCTCCATGCTTAATTTAATTTGTGTAGAGGCCTTGCTTGAGCTTAAAATACATTGTGATCTATTGTCTCGACGGAGGAGTAAAAGAGTAATTATGGGATTTAAAATATAATTTTGCCATGCATAGAATACGGTGGTTAGGATTATGAGATCTTAAGGAGATATTAAAACCATAGTTGAGAAAAATCTTAGCTAATACTTATGCTCTCATTCACAACAACATAAGAAAAAATCTATCTTTTGCAATTATCTAGTTTTAAATATCACATGTTAAGAGTATTTTTAATATAAAATCTCTTTCTTGAATTTGTAACTTTTAACTCTTCACTTGCATCAAACTTTTGATTTTATTGATAAGATAAACTTGTGATTGGATTATTTCAATCCTCATGGGAACGTTATTTCTTACGTTACTTTATTATTTGACACAACGCATACTTTTGCATAACACATCATAACATAGAAAATCATAATTAAAAGAATAGTACTGTGTGGTTTGTGTGCATCATATATTAGTTAAGAATAGTTCTTCATTTGATAACCAAATCACTTTGTTACCAAGATCACTTTCTTCTCCCCTTATCTCTTATCTTGTAAATTAGAGCGAGTTCTCTTCTTTGGTCTTGACTTGTAGAAGTGGCTTTGTTTTATAACTTCAAATGAAGAAATGTTTCCAAGTCAAATTGTTGAGTTCATCATCATTAGCCTTTATCTCGATTATTTGGGGTATGCATTATGAATCCTCATCTTTTATTCATTTTAGTTGAGTAATGTTTGAGCTGGTAAACCTATTAATATCGAATCATTTTGAGCAACCTCTATTCATATAACCTTAGGTCCTCCCCCTTTCCTCTATAATCCTTAGATGCTAACTTTATCAACCACTCTAGCAAGTACATTTTCTACTATTTATTGTACACGTTGAAACCACTTAAGTTTATTTTTGTCATCTAATCTTCAATCGATGTTATTCCATTTTTTTTTTCTTTTCTAATCTAATTATTTTTAATTTTTCCTTTCTTGTTTTGTCACACATTTATTTTAATATTCTCATCTATGTCATGCTCAACTTAGAAATTAATGACTTTTTTATAGCTCAACATTTGGACCTTACAACATTGTTGACTTGATTGGGGTGTCATAAAATTTACTTTTAGGTCTTATGATATCCTTTTATGGCATAAAACTTTAAAGGCATTTCTGCATTTTAACCATACAACCTCAACTCTAGAAGTTATATCCTTAGCCATATCTCCATTTTTATATATTTAATATTTCTCTATTGTCAATATTAGATTACCTCTAAATCTTCTCTTTTGCTATCTTATGTGGCTTCATGCTTGTTCCCTTGCAGCATTTTTTAACCTTTCAGTGAATGCCTCGATTTCTTTGTTTCAAAAGGCTCTTGTATTAAGACTGTTGTATTTATCTTCTTTACAGCTCTGCAATTCATATAATCTGAATGAGCAGTTATCAGAAGTTGTTAAGCGTTATCTAGCTAGCTTCTAATAAAGTGTTCTTTAAGATGAATTTGTACACTTCATAGGTGATTCAAACTGCTGATCATGTATACTTGAAAACTTCTATATGATAAATATATTTTTTGAACTGGGTTATTTAATACTTGTTCATTTTATGGTTGGTTGTGTCAGATTTGGCTGGGCAGGCATTACACATGGTAATATCCAGGACAGCCCACCCTAACCAGCCTTTCACTTGGCTGGCTCTGTTGAATCCAATGGTCACCAATCTAGTTTACATTACGTATTTTATTTATGGACCTTGAATTTGATTTTTTCAAAAAAAATTTAGGAAGGATTAGTAAAAAAAATAAATATTTAAAACTATCATATTATGTTTTCCCATATAATCTGTATTTTTCTTAGCGTAGATATTTTCTATAGCCCAACTTTTTTCTTCATAGAGTGGGAATTTCTTACTGCGTATGAATAATGGTTTTCAAGTCTTTATATTGAATAGAAATATTTTAATTAAACTTGCCTAGCAGAATTTAGAGGAATTTCCTGAAGAAAAACCTGGCGGTAGGGATGCTGTTATTAATGTACTGATGAATGCACTCGAGTCCTTGACAAACTTGAGATCAGTGATTGTTAAAGGTCTTGAAAGTGGCCTTAGAAATGATGCTCCAGATACTGCCATTGCAATGCGTCAGAAGGTATATTATTTTAATTTCGTAAATCATTCTTATGGTCTTATGAGTCGTAGTTGTTTCTTCTAGTGCTGATCGATGTTCAAGTTTACTTTTTGGTAGTGGCGTCTATGTGAGATTGGCCTTGAAGATTACTCCTTTGTTCTTTTAAGCAGGTATTCCTTTAAATTGTATTAATCTAGCCACTGACGATTGCACTTCTGATTTATTTTATTGCATTAAAACTTCTATGAAAGTGAACTATAACATATTAAAATCTATCTTGTAAGTTAATAGCCAACATATAATTACTTTTGGGCAATCATGTTTATTTATAAATGCATGGCATCAAGTTGTCAGTTGTTCCTATATGTAACAAGAATATGCATAAATTTTATTGTAATCAGGGTAGAATTGCTTGTACTAACATTTTTGAAAAAGGTGAGATGATGAAAGAAATCTTGGTTGTTAGATTTTAGAAATAATTTTTTGCATTTTAAGTAGGATAAAAAATATCATCTTGTTGATAGTTATTATATATTGAGTTTATTTTAATAAGATGTAATAAATTTATGCATTGAAAATATTTTTTTCTATTGGTCAGGAAGTACCACTCCTTAGATTTTTCCTTTCTTTATGATTTTATTGTACTAGATGGATAATCTTGATGAGGGCAGATATTTATGCTTCTCGAGGACTTCTTCTAGAGATCTTTTAATTTGTGAGTTATATTATAGTGACACCCTCCATATGTCCCATAATTTAATAAGATCAAATGTGACGAAAATGACTGACAATTGACACGACGTCACACAAATATTGTTTGAAACACCTAGACCTCAAGTAAATTCATCTAATTGTTGCTCATTTTGCAAAATGGATTGTGCCGATGTGCCAGTAACATTGAAAATAGCTTGAAAGGACATTCATATTTCTTTGGTCATGCTGACTCAATTTTTGATCTCATGCTAACTCAAGTTGACCCAAATCAACTAAATACAATTGAATCAAACCCTTTTAAACATAAGTAGTTTATCTTATTTAGCCCATATCCAAATCAAGCTTCCAGTACAACATTTTGTAGCCTTCTTCTTTCCCAATCAATTCGTGGGAAATCCAATGGCTGGAATTGCATAAGAGGCTACGATGAGCACAACGTTCTGCATTCCTCCTTTCATGTTTTTCTGGTGCTATTAGTGTCTCTAATCTTGGATTTTTTTGTCTCTTTAACTAAACAAATAATGAATGTCCTACTGGCCATTAAAGGCATTCGTTGCAAAGTGCGTTAGAATTGGAAGTTGATCCAAGACTCCTTTCTTCAAAGAATCCAGTGGCAGGGGGGGCCAGTTCAAGTAAGAAAAAATCTTTAAATATTTCAAAGACAAAAAAGGAAAGTATAAGCCTAGATCAAAATCTCAGAAAGGAAAGAAGAAGAAATTAACATAGCAAAAAATAGTGATTCAAAAATACATCGACTCTATCGATGAATATCAGCAACCTCCAAGGCGTCCTTTCAAGCTAGAGGAATACCTCGTTGATTTATTTCTTTACTCGGAATCTGAAAAGGAAGAGAGTATTCCAATTGAGACTTGCCGAGTTATAAATAAACGAGGTGGAAGGGTTGCTAGAGGACGCAATGCACCTCTTGCTATCTATAAAGCTGACGTGGAAATACCTTCTAAGTACATCATACACCGACATCTTTCCTGATTCAGATGAAGAATTACATTTTTTAGATGACGAAAGTGATCACAAGAATAAGAAGATTATTAAAGAAAAATGTCCAAAACTCGGAAGAAGCTCAGATTTCGAGGAGGTTGAGGATACGAAAATTTTAAAGAATTCTCAAGTTGAAGCTAGTTCATCTTCAGAGGTGACACAAATCCAGCTGAGAAGTGGATAACAGGTTCCTCCACCTTAAAAGAAAATAAAAGATAAGGAGAAGAATATTTAGCTAAATGAAGCTGTTATTCCACAAGAGCCTCTTAAACCCAAGGTTGTCAGTGCAAATGTGGATTACATCATATTATCTCATCTCCGCAAATTATCTGCACTGTTGAGTGTTTATGACGCCCTTCTTATATTTATGAATATTTGGGAAACACTCATTAAAATTTGAAAAATTCTGAACAGTACGAGGCATTCTTTGCCGAGCAAAGCTTGAAAGAAGCTTTGCATACTCAGAATACTGCCACAATCACTTTCTGTGATAGTGATCTGCTCCTGGAAACTGCAGATCATAATCAGCCACTATATGTTACTGTGAAGAGTAACAACATTGAAATAAATAGAATTTTGATCGATCCACGTTCATCTATTAATCTAATGAGCCTCAAAACGCTTAAAGGATTGGCCCTAGACTTCCAGTATTTGAATAAAAGTACAGTATTTCTTCAAGGATTCAACGAACAAGGGCAAAGAACCCTGGGGTCCTTGGTCTTGCCTCTAAACTATGGGGAAATTAATACATAGGCAATATTTTGTATCATTGATTCCAACACATTATACAAAACACTTCTCGGAAGACCCTGACTCAACGAGTATGCTTTATCAATGTATGAAATACATTCGAGACAATGAAGAATATCGCATTGATGGTGAACAACCACAAGGTGCACGAAGTCAAAATTTACGATGATGCCAAGTACTTTATAGCTTAAACGTCAAAAGCAGTGAACTTTTGAGAATTCAGGCCGCTATGCTAGATAAAGGAAAATCAAAAGATAAAGGAATGAATAAATCAAAGCAAATATGCTCAGTGCTTCACCTCGGTAGTGATACCAAAGGGGATGATATCTCCACAACTTTTAAACCCCTGTTCATAGGAAAAAAAAAGAATGAACTATCAGCTGTCCCTTTTTATTATGAAGCTAATCATACAAATAAGGTATGATGTTCAAGCAAAACAATCATTGAAGGAGAAGAATTCCTATATCAGCACAAGGGTACTACATAATCTCAAGAGGAAGGGAACCAAGGACCTTGTTCCATATCTAAGAAATTGCAGAAAGTATCAATTTCAATGATAAGGGTGTCTGAAGATCAGATATCTACAAATATCATCAAAATAGTACTTATGTCGGCGGCTCATTCCAAAACATTGACTACCTCGCCAAACATAAACATAGAAATGTTAAAAACTTTATATATTCCCCCAAAAGAGATCTCAATGAACGTAGATTTATTTTCTATAAATCAAGAGTAATATCATATCACATTACTCATGAAATAGTGTGCGAAGATGATTGGAAATACGGAGATATGTTGATAATCATTCCTCAACATACTCCATCCATTATGAGAAAACTGATATAAAGAAGAATTTTTTTCGTGCAAACACGCAAGCAAGCTCGTTACTTCAGAAAGCTTTGGCATAACGAGTAAGCACAAAAGCCTATTGGCAATGGTTTGTGATGTAATACGATGCAACTACTAGAAGTTACTTGAGAAATTAAAAGATCAATTGATTTAAAACTTGCTAATATAAAATTATTGCTTGCAACAAAGAAAGATCCTAGAATTCAAACTAGTCGGCTTGCTTAGGCAAAGGAGTGCTCTTGAGATTAACCAAACAATTCAATCAAAATTGAAAGATAAAAGTAAATGTTACAAGCTCATAACATAATCCAACACTTATTAACGAGAGGTTCACCTTGAGTACCTTCTCAATCAATCACTCTTAGGCTTTAGCGGAGAAAGACGAATCACACGAGGAAGGATATTACCACTATGAAGACGTTGCCGAAGGCCTTCGTTGATGGAGAAGTAGCCAGCGGTGGGGAAACGACGGGTGACCGATGATTAGCCAAGGCGTCTTGGGTTTTTGAAAATCAATCGTCTCCGCCAAACAGTATATGATTCGTTTGACGTATCTTTCCACCGTTTCGTCGTATTCCCAATCGGGTTCGTAGAAAGGAGAGAAGAATGTCGATCTCTCCTTGGGCGTTGTAGGCGAAACTGTGATCGACCTCAGGATCGGCCATGCACCGATGATGATGAGGTTGGGAGAGGAGGTCGTCTTCTTCTCTTGGCTTCAAGTTTCATGAGCAACTAGGTTTTCCCAAGAGTGGGGATGCAAGGGAGGGGGGAGCGGCCAAGGTAGGGAGAAGGGGAAGGGGCGGCTTGAATGAGGAGCTTAGATTAGGCTAGGAGAGGAAATCTGAAATTAATTTCAGATTTTCTTAATTTGAGTTGGGCTCTCATAATTTCAAATTTTGAAATTTGAAATTTAGACGTTAGGAGGGAAAGTGGGAATTAATGGGGCTTAATTTGGAGCCTTGAATTAAGCTCCTAATTAAGGAAGGGAGGCAATGGGTGGCCGGCCATAAAGAGAGGAGAGGAAGTTTTAGAAATTCTGAAATTAATTCAGATGTAAGTGGTTTTGGAGGAATTTAATTTGAATTTTGAAGTCAAATTAAGGAGGGATTGGGAGCTTTAATGGGAATTAATTGCAAAGCCATCAATGGGTGGCCGGCGGCATTGAGAGAGAGGGAGGGAATTAGGGAGGAGTTTTGGGGAGGAGTTTTGGGGAGTTTCTAAACAAGGTTTGTGAATTAGGAAAGCTAGTAATAAATCCAATCTTTTGAATTTAAATTGAATTCATGACTAAATACTTTCATAATTGAGAATTCTAAATATGGAAAGAATTTGAAATTCAAATGGGATTAAATCCTTCCTTTTTTTTGGGAGTTAATGTAGGAAGTCATTAATGTGATGGGGATCACCATAATGATGGGAAATCATGTGGTGGCCGGCGGCAAGGGTGATGGGGAGGAGTTGGCGTCGGGTTAGGTGGGGAGAAGGGACTTAGGCTGGCGGGTGGTGCTTGTGAATGTGGAGTTCGAATGGACTTAGAGGTGGTATTTCGGAGGTGGGGTGGTGGTGGAGATGTGGAAGAATGCCAGAAGTTGAAGATGGAGGAAGGAAGAAATAAATAAGGAAATCACGAGCCACGGACTCTTTCGATGACTAGTGGGTATTGCGCTTGCTCACCTCGAGCTCTCTCTCCCTTCTCTCTAGTGCTCACACAAGAAGAAGAAGAAAATACATGAAATTTTTATTATCAAATCATCCTCTTACCATAGATGGGGCCTCAATATATAGGCCTGAAATAAAAAATAAAGAAAAGACACAAATGCCCCTTGGTCTACAACTCCCATAGACTCAAATAAAAGGG